TGGTTGTCGTAATGATAGAATAATATATGTAGATCTGGCTCTCACCTTATCTATCACGTTAAGGGTATGTCATTCCATTATTGGTCACTTAACACTTAAAAATCGAGTTTGTAGTGCGCTCTAAAAGAATTAGGAGGTAATAATTTTAGGGACACAGTTATCGACTACCAGAGCTTAGAGGCAAAAAAATTTAAATGAAAATTTACCATAATTTGTTCTAGCATGTATTCTATAATAATTATCTTGGGTTGTATATCTTGTACTGTGGGAGTGTATGTTGGATACTGATAAAAGAAGTTCGGAGAACAAGTGTGGAATATTGTTGCCTTTGTTTCTGATTTGGCGGATAAAAGTTGCTATTTTTAGTCATACTAGGTTTTTAAGTTTCAACATCCCAAGTACTTTAAAGTATGGACCTAGTTTCGCCTTCTTGAAAATCTAGAATTGATATCCGAATGTAAAGGGCCGTAGTTTGTGAAGCGTGAAAATACTTCGCAATCATCATGCAATTAGAAAGAGAAGGGCAGTTTCAGATAGAGCTCTTAATATATATCGGCGGTACCATGAGCTCTTAGCGGTACCGGTGTGAGCCAGGGTATGTTTAGCAATTATAGGTTATGTAGCCAGCCATGAATATTTCATCTCGAGACAATATTAGCTCTCGTTGCTATCAATATATAATCTTTTGACTTCCTTGCTGATCACGACAAGATCAATTGGAATTGCGAAAGAACGTTTTTGCTGAATAAGAAGAAGCTTGTTAAAATCAATATCAAAAACACCTTTTAAGGCCGCCTGTTTTTGTTTTTCTGGCCAAACATGAACCGTGAAAACTCAGTGGTAAACCGTGAACGGCGTGCCAAACGGTGTACGAAAACATGAAAAGATAAAAGGAAGGAAGTTCTAAACCCGTTTTGTAATTGATCACAACAACATCAGAAAGGAAACCATTAAAAAGTAGGATTTGATTGACGGATCAAATCATGCGTGAAAAAATTGCATGTCGCGGTAATTATAGTACATGCGCAAAAGTTATTATAGATCTTTCCAGAATTTCCAAACATGTAGGCCTTTCCAGATTCTGCTCCGAAAAAGCTAAAAAGTTGCTAAGAAATATGCCAAAAAGTTTCTCAAAAGTTGCTCAAAATTGAAAAAGTTGCTCAAAAATTTTGTAAAGTTGCAAGAATATTTTTAAGACACGTGTCTAATTTTAATAAAAATTGCTCTGTAATCAACATTAAGATACAACTAAGTAACTAGTTAAAACAAATTAGGCAACCTTTAGTTTAATCTAAGTGGCTAGTTACAAAAAGTTAGACAGTAAGTGTAACAAAGCTCCCCTGCTAACTGCAGTTTCAATGGGGTTTCCTTTGTCTTCGGAAGTCAACATGGCGTCCACCATTTTGTTTACACACAGTTCACAGGCTACCCCAACCTCGTTCCCAGGGCTTTTCCCTTCTCGTGGGGGCGCCCCCCCCCCACAAGGAGGGAAAAGCCCTGGGAACGAGGTTGAAGCTACCGAAGCCCAATTCTTCAATTCTTGTATTCAATTACCACGTCCACATGATACCCATTGAAAGGGTAAAATTTTGAGTTTTACTAGAAAGATGTTTAGAACTTTAACCAAGAGAATTTTAACTTATTTATTTAAAAAAAGGGGGGTTATTCAGCATTTTGGTTCAAAATATCCCAAAAGTTACTACAAAGTGCTAGTTTTCCGAAAAGTTGCTTGAAGTTGCTCTCTGGCAAAAAAGTTGCTCAAAATCCTAAAAGTTGCTAAAAAGTTGCCGAGCAGAATCTGGAAAAGCCTACAAATATGGCAATTCTCAAGTGGAACCGTTCAAAGGTTTCAATCGTTTCCTTCGCATGAACGAACTGCTGACATGGCGGCTCGGTTGCTCAAGGTAAGGCGTCATTTTCCTGTAGTATGCTTTGTCCTGTTTACTTGAAACGTAGAATTTCGGCAAACATTTGCTTTTAGTTTCGTTTCTCATAAATAAACTTCGATTTTCGGGCAAAGTTTTTCTGGCTAGGAAACGCTGAGTTCACAAAACGGCCTCTTCTACTAAAGACATTCCATTGGCCTTAAAAAACATCAACCCCAGGATTTTGTGGCCTTTTGAAAGATCGTTCTCTGAAAAAAAAAATGGGAAAAACACCGGCCTCTCATATTATCCACTTGTTAGGAGGTGAATATTGAATTTTTCGAGATAGCGAACCGATAAGGTTCCTTAAAACACCAAGACCACTGAGTGTGTATATACTAACGAAATACATTATTCGTCGTGGCATGTGTATGATAGGCTAGTTTGTCATTTGTCTCACAACAGTCACTTTGTTCTTAATCACACCTTTTCGACCGCTTATTGCTGGTCTTTATCAGGTGATGGTGTCGATTTACTGAGCCGGACTATTAGTAATAGCGTGGTTGACGTTAAGTTCAACAGCACACCGACATGCTCGTGGGGTATATTGTAGCTCCTCGGACGTGGAGCACGCATGTGTCAACATCAAATATAATCTAATCAAGCTGAGCTTTCGCTCTTAAAGATGTTATAATGTAAAACCACAACGATTTGTAGGAGCCAAAATGCTAGTCCGAGGAAGGATGTCATTACAGAAACCAGTTTATTAAGACATGATGTTAAAACAACTAAAGTGTTAAAGGAAAATAATTCATAAATAAAATATGAAGGAAATTCAGTGAGTGCTTAAAGATCAGATGAAAAACTCCTCATTTTTTCACCCTTTATTTCTCCTTCTAAAGTTCAATAAAAGACCTATAAATTATCACATTTATGTTTTAATAGGTTACTTGCAGGTTGCACACAACTTTACGTTGGTAAAACGGAAAGGTCTTGGCGATTCATGCATCGTAAACATGCATGCGAGCAGAATCGATCAAACTATCGTTTTAACCTTTCAACTTTTAACACATGTTGAGACCCTCTAATTATAAGAATATTTTTACAAATTTTCGCATAGAAACAAATTTTTAAAAACCTTCAGTTTTCACCTTACCATAGCTAATTTTGACCTTACTTCTGCGAAACAATGAGGACGATGCAGCTTATTCCTTAAAAATTAGGTATTTGTTGCAATTAAAATAACATTCGCCGATATGTATCCCTGCGCTCTAGCTGCGTCGAAATATAAACAAATGTCGCGAAAAGAAACGAGGAGGTAAACTTCCAGATCTGTGCCCCGGCGATGTATATCTGCTACAACACCTTGCCCGATGTAAGGGAGTCCGGACTCCAGAATCCGGAAAATTTTTACTTGTACTTGGAATCCGGAATCCCGGGCGTGGAGTCCAGAATCCAAGACCATTTGATTCCCTTACGTGGGGCGAAACACCACTGTATCCTGAGTCCAGAAAGCTGGACTTGCTCGGCCTCACTAGTATTTGTCCTTGTATAATGTCAACGGTTAAAAAGTTGAAACTGACATCACAGTCTACTAACCTATCTTAATTCATCATTTCATCTTCATCGTTCCAGGGTATATCACAAACCAATCTAACGACCAGCTCCCAGTTGGCTTGCTAGCTCAAGTGGTTAAAGTGCTAGCGCTGCTCCAGTATCGCACAGGTCGGGCTTTCTTTTCGCAACTGCATAAGAAGCGATATCGATTTATTCTCCATTCCGCTGTTCCAATATATGAAATTCATACATTCATCGTTTCACTGCAAATTTGGTAGCTTCTGGCTGACTTTGCTTAAGCTCCCAATTTTCCTTCCTAGTGCATTCTGCGGAATTGTTGTCAAATACACAGTTGAATTATAAAGAAAAGAAATTTTGAGAAGCTTTTAATCGACCAGCGCTCGTTAATCCCGTGTATCGTTTCGAAAATATACCACCATTCCCAACAGCGACGACGCTAGAGATTCATATATCTTACTGGACGGTTTAGTGTGTAGTATCGTGGGATATTTTTACGAGTCACCACGCATTTTGGCGAGCCCTTAGGGCGGGTCAAAATACAAGAGACGAGTAAAAATATCCCACGATACTACACACTAAACCGCTCAAAAAATCACTTGAAATCCGGAGTACCCCCTCCCCCCGCTAGGGCCCAGTTTTGGACTTTACGAAAATGTATCATTACTTTCCACGACCTAGTATCCACGAATTGCTTTCTCACACAGTAAATAGTTTTTTATCTGTGATAGCGTAATATTTCATATAAATACTTTTTTAAATTATCTTTTTTTATTGTCCGATTAATATTATTTTGTTTATTTTTATCGTGTCATATCTGCGAAAGCAGCTTGTAAAGAGTGTTTTTTTTTTACCAAGATCTTCAAGCGCCTGACAGTAATGGCTGAAATTAAGTAGCAACTACAGAAACAAGCAACACAAACCAGAAACAAATGAGCTTTGTACTATTTATGGACTCAATGAAATTAGAGCAACGGGTTTGGAGAGCCTCGTGACTACCGGCCACTTTACCATGACGATTGGTGACGGTCAGTGCTTTTGACGAATCGTATTTTGAGTAGTTATATTGGACAAACAAAATACGAATTCAATACAAAAGAGGAAAACTATGTTACTGCAGGCAGTCAGATCTGAGTCAGTCGAGAAGACGGAGGGCCTGAGTTTTTCGAATCTGAGGTCTTTCACCACTGTAGTTTTCGTCACACCCAACGAAGGATGGCGGCACTCAGTAGTGCTTTCAGAGCAGAATCCAACGATGAAAATCTTTATGATCACATAGAGTTATTTAATATGCAGTCTTTACCCAGTTGCTTACCAAGCGGAGCCCCACCAGTAAACGAAACTTACCAAGAAGAAGCAGTATACCAGAATTGCGAAGGGAATAACAGACCAGTAGCAACCAATAGTGCTTTTAGAGCAGAACCCAACGATGAACATCTTTATAATCACATAGAATTATCCAATAGACAGCCTGTACCAAGCAGAGCCCCAACGGCAAACCAAATTTACCAAGAAGAAGCAGTATACCAGAATTACGAAGGGAATAACAGACCAGTAGCAACCAATAGTGCTTTTAGAGCAGAACCCAACGATGAACATCTTTATAATCACATAGAATTATCCAATAGACAGCCTGTACCAAGCAGAGCCCCAACGGCAAACCAAATTTACCAAGAAGAAGCAGTATACCAGAATTGCGAAGGGAATAACAGACCAGTAGCAACCAATACTGCTTTTAGAGCAGAACCCAACGATGTACATCTTTATAATCACATACAGTTATTCAATAGACAGCCTGTACCAAGCGGAGCCCCAGCAGCAAACCAAATTTCCCAAGAAGAAGCAGCAAACCAGACTTACGGAGGGAATAACAGACCACAAGAACCCATGAAAAATATTGCGATATGTCACCGTATGCCATTTGCTATGATAGCTGTTCTGGTCCTATGCCTCTTGGCAACGGTTGGTGCATCGATCAGTTTAGCCATCAGGATGTCTTCTGACGGTAATTTTTCAGTTAATTTGAATGTAGCTAATTCTTATAATACATGTTTTTAAATCGGTTGATCTGGATTGATCCAACCATCTTTCACCCTGGGGGGAACTTCCATATAAAAGTGACGTGGGTGCTAATCGGAAAATTAAAGTTATACCCCTAAGGCAGACCAATGTGGGCGTGGCTAAAGCTTAAACTGACCTCTAAAGGAGGGCATACTAAAAACAGACTTCATGGCATTTTTTCTAATTTTTTTTTTATGCACAGCCCTAAGCGATACCTGAATGGGCAAAATGTAGTGACTTTCCTTCCCAAACACCCCAAGTAAGACCAAAATTTGCAATTTACACGGCCTAAGCGAGGCTACAAGCATCAGGCAGTCACTTTTATATGGGAGTCCCCTGGGTCTTTCACTTTATTTCATTGTACGCAGTGGATGGTATTGGCCATCTCTCGTTCCCTTTCAATAGGGCACAGCACGTTTTAGGGTTTATACATCATATTATTTTCAGGCCACAAGTTATTTATTATTTATTGTCTTAGATTCCCGTTATTTCTGACCCTACCTGTAATTCAGTTCTCACTGCAAAAGGTAGCAATAAACCTATTTATTTATTTATTTATTTATTTAAGCACTTGGGTGACCGGAAATCGTGTGATCTTTAGCGCTTTCATGAATGAATCTAATGAGACGGGTAATATTTGATTCACTTTCATTTATATGTTTGTGGCTGCGATTAGCCTGTGCCAGGCTCTCAGATAATAGGGACATTGCGAAAATAAAGGTCGGTACAAAGGGGGGAATTTCATATATCCCATGATGCTTCGCGTCAAATTTCTGTCTTCTCTCCACGGTGGAAGGAGCGTTCGAGGGTTTCGAGTGAGATTTTCAACGACATGAATTTCAAGATGCAGCTCATCCAAGATAAGTTTCAATAAGTCCTGTTAATCTTTGGTATCTTATTAATAATGTAAAATGGTTCCATGGTCATTTCACCCATTATTGCTTTCGTTTACGGCCCGGTTAAGCCATGCTGTTTTAACTCGCAAGTGAATATTTATTTAGATGACTTTCAATTATCGAAAACTGTCTTTATTCTAGCAAGGTTTTGCCCTAATAAATTATTTAAATCGGCGGACAAGGGGTGCTTGATACTAGTTCCACGCTCCGACCTCTTTCGACCTCGCGATTTTTATGGGTTTGATCGTTTTGAAATATCGCATTTTCTGCCCTTTCTCCGCTAAGATGCAAGACGAAGGTTTCAGTTTCTTTATGCTAAGTCCTGCGAAGATGGGACATTTTTTCTTGAACTCACTCTTTTTTCGCTGATCAAAACACAAATATTATCTCTTGAGTGTATGATGAATGTTTAAATTCAATGGTTTATAGTTATTAAAGCTTTTTTGTCTCATTATTTTAGGTAAAATTGGTTTCTCATGGTGGCTTCCGGTCGCAACCGCGCGTGGCGAACTTGAAAAATACAGGCCAGCAAATGTCATGGAATAGCACGCCGTAGGACCTCAACTGGCGTATAAAACCTTTTAAGACATTTTGATAATTCTTTTAGGATCCACTGTAGTGAAGAAGTGGGTGTTTTTGTATATGTATTTTGCATTTCTTAATAAAGCTTTTTTCTGTTTATGTTTGACAATGATACTTAGCTGGTGTTGTGTTACGAAAAATATAGAGATGTCTTTGTTATTTTTATTGTTTGTTGGAGCTATTTCCCTCCTTTGAATTTTATCTCCGATAGACGTCAATTTGCACTTTAACGGTCTCGGTTTTTTCGACTTCATAAGCCGAGCTTGTTAAAGTAAAAGAATGTGCGGTCAGCGTACGGTTGATGTACTGCACCGATGAATTATTGAACTGACAATATGAACACCGCTATCACCAACAAGCAACGAAGAGAAATCTCACACCTAGAATATGTATTTATTTCAAGACAAGTTCGTGGAAATTGCTTGTTAATCCATGGAGAGCTTTATCAACGCGCGTTAAAACAGGATGAACTGAAGCAAAGACCTTCCTCGCTGCTATCGCATAATCGGCGGCCAAAACACTCTCTTTGACTTAACAGGATATATATTTGGAATAGTAAAGCGAATATCGTAAATAGATCGACACAGCAAAGGTACAGAAAGTTTTCTCGGCAAAACAAGTCGCTTTCCACTGCTGTTCAACTGTCACGTCCCGGTTGAACTGATAGCATCACGTGCGTTCGGATGCTTGATAATATAGTATGAAGCGATGCATCATGGGATATATGAAATTCCCCCCTTTGGTCGGTACACACTTGGCGACAAGTTGCAGCAACACGTTGCAGCGACACGTTGCAGCGACAAATCGCGTCGTGTCTGCTGGAAAGTTTTTGTGGAAATCTTTGTCTCCGCAACATAATTTTGTCGCTGCAACAAGTCGCAGAAAATCAAATCAGACAGAATTTGTGCGACTTGTTGCTGCGACAAAACTCTGTTGCAGAGACAAAGATTTTCTTCACAAAAATTACACCAAGAAAAGTAGCTTCCTTAACACGGTCAATCGAATAATTACTAATATTAAAAGCTAAATCAAGTGTTTGCCTGTTTTGTCTCGGTCTGAATATGATAAAATTAGATTTCTTAACATTAATAGATAGCTTATTTGTATAAAACCAACACGTTATCTTTTTCAATTCTAAATTTACAACTTCCATAAGATAGGAAGCATCAGTATGCGAATAGAAGATATTAGTGTCATCAGCAAATAGTATCAGCTCTAAGACCTTTGACACATTACATAGATCATTTATATATACTAAGAATAACAGGGGACCTAAGATAGATCCCAGAGGGACTCCGCAAGTGATATCTAATGATGAAGAGTTGTAACCATTATATTGCACAAATTGATTTCGACAAGATAGATAACTTTTAAACCATTGTAAAGCAATACCACGTACTCCATAATGTTCTAATTTGTCGAGCAAAATTTCATGATTTACTGTATCAAAGACCTTAGATAAGTCAATGAATAGGCCTAAAGTTACCCTTTTATTATCAAGTGCATTTGAGATCTTGTCATACAATTAGATTAAAGCATGTGCAGTAGAATAATTTTTTCTGAATCCATACTGATTCCGGGAAAGAATATCATATTTATTTAAAAAATTAATGAGGCGATTGTAGACGATTCTCTCCAGGAATTTAGAGAAAACTGGTAACACTGATACGGGTCTGTAATTTGTGAACAAAGATTTCTCACCAGATTTAAACAATGGAATAACTCGTGCAATTTTCATCTCTTGGGGCACAACTCCAGATTTAAGAGACAAGTTAATTATATACGTCAATGGTGCGCAGATTAAGTTAAAAGACTCTTTAACAACATTCATTGAAATACTATCATATCCTGGAGCAGTACCGGATCGAAAGCTGCTACAAATCTCAGTGACTTCTTGTTCTGATGCCGATTGAAGAAAAAATGAATTAATAAAGCATCCATTCAGAAAAGAAAGATGAGATTTGTCAGACGCCGGAATCGATTTAGCTAAGTTAGGTCCAATATTCGTAAAATACTCGCAAAAACGGTTTGCTATATGAGTAGGATTACATATTTCTTCTTCATTAGATTTGAAGGTGGAAGGCAAATTACACTTGCTTTTCTTCTTGTTAATAAGATCGTTAAGTAATTTCCAAGTTGATTTTGCATTTGATTTATATTCATCTAACTTTTTATTGTAGTAGAGACGTTTAGCAACGCGAAGGGAATGTGTCAATTTGTTTTTATAACTCTTGTAAAGTTTCTCACGATGTGGAGTTGGGTTAGCAAGGAAACGCTTGTATAATAAATTCTTTTTTCTTACCGATTTAAGAAGACCTTTAGTTATCCATGGTTTGCTCAAAGTAACATTCTTTACTTTCACTTTTTTGAGAGGAAAGCAGTCATTGTAAATGGTAGTTTATTTATCAAGAAAACACCGATAAGCGCAATCAGTATCTTTACATTCAGATAATTCATCCCAATGAACGTTTGCAAGCCTATCTTTAAACTTAGCGACATTATTTCCACTTTTATCACGAAAAGAAAGCCAAGAAGTTTTATTTAAGTTCTTGTTTTGATCAAGAAGCAGTGTGAAAATCGGAAGATGATCAGATATATCACAAAACATCAGCCCGCTAACAGATAAGTTGTTTAAATTATTCGTGAAAATATTATCAATTAGCGTAGCCGTGTTAGAAGTTATTCTTGTCGGACGTGTGATCAATGGAAAAAAACATTGTTGAATACATAGTTTCTAACAATTCTCCAGTTGTGTCGTGACAATGGTGGTTGATTAAGTCTAGATTCCAGTCACCTAAAACATAGCAAATCTTGTTTTCCTTAGAGATACTTGCAAGCAACGAATCCAGGCTATTCATAAAATCTTGTAAATTTGAATTTGGTGGCCTGTAAACCACACCTACAATTATATTTTTCTCTTTCGGCCTATTGATTTCCACAAACAAAGACTCAGCACATTCAGTGCAAGAAAAAACTAAGTCAAGTCGACATTTAAAATCAAAATTGTCCCGCTAAATATAGACCTACACCTCCACCTGTCCTATCTTTACGTGGATTGTGGACAAAATTATAACCTGAGATATCGGTATGATGCGATGAGTCTCGAAGCCAGGTCTCAGTTATACCAATAAAAGAGAACCTCAACTCTAAATTCTTTAGCAAAGTGGTTAAGCTATCCAAATTACGATGAAGGCTACGAATATTAAGATGCAGAAGCGATAAACAATTATTGACTTCTAATATATTTTTCTGATGCAACATTTCATTGAAGTTTTCTTCGGAATAATATTCGCAGTCAACTAACTCCGTGAAGAAATTAGCATCAGGATCATGATGGCTAGAAAGGCTAAATTTTTTATATGTTTCAGATAATAAAGGATTAAACCTGAGACTAGCTAACCTTTTGGGATCGTAACGTATAGGTCCATTTAACTGCTCAAATATAGCCAAACGAAAGTCTTCTTCGTTTAAATGAATAAACGGTAATTCTTCCATTAATGAGTCGAACAAAAAAAATTTTGCAATATACTTATCTTAATCATTTGAAGAACCGGAGGGCTTATCACGAATGATCAAACGATCTAAGATAAAATATGCTGATTTTCCTGCTTGCTTGGCCGCCTTGAGCTTCTCCAAATGAGGTTTCCTCTTTTCAAGCGTCGCTTGCGAAAGATCGTCTCAAATAAACAGTCCTTCTGGTTTTTCCTTTCTTGCCTTTCTTACTACAGCTTCTTTCTGCTTCCAGCTACTCAGTCGGCACACAATAACTCTAGGCTAATTAATTTGTTGGGCGAGTAAAGGTTTATGCAAATGACAGTAATGATCGAGTGAAGGCTTGCTTCTTAATTCAAATATATATTAAAATGGGTTGCGAGGAGCAGGGGCGGATCAAGGGGCAGGGGGCAGGGGGTGCGCACCCCCTCCCCCCCTGAGATGACCTGCGGGTTCTCTAATACAACTGGTATTCTGCAAAAAAAACAAACAAACAAACAAACTATGTGGTTTATTGGTGTTGAAGTAGAGCAAGAGACGAGTGCACCCCCTCCTAAAAAAAATCCTGGATCCGCCCCTGGAGGAGGGTGGTTTTCAAGCCGTTCCGCACACAGCTACCTCTTTTCATTGTTTGCCGTGAATTAATCATTTGGCGGTTATCCATTTACGGCTCTGCAATGGTCTGAAATGTCGGTGCAGTATTTCATGTCAAGCTAAGTCGGTAAGTAACTCATGTGAAGCCAGCATATAGTCTCCTTATATGTAACCGACATTTGCTTACTTGAGGTGCTTTGTTTCTTGAGGTTGACATGAATTACTTACAGACTAGTGAGACTAGGATCTGTGAACTTAAGAAGAGGTTAGGGGCTCCTGTCTTTGGATTTTAGTGGACAATACTCACATTCGTAGTAGTTTGTATACTGTTTACAGTCAGCCTGATATTTCAGACGTGACGTCTCCTCGAGTCGCAAGAGGAGTTTGCGACTCGTGGAGACGGTCGAAATTCAAGTTATTTTACAGTCCCCCTTTTTTTCCGCCTGGTTGAGGATGGCGATCGCCGCTGTGATTTGATTTGGGCATCCACTGTGACGCTGCATTTTTTTTTTCCACTCTTTGTGCTGAAACCCTGTTCCCCCCTATATTTCGAGCCTAAGCCTAATTTATCGAAGACACTTAAAGGTTTGCTAATGAGACTTGTTATTTTTGAAAACACTATTTTTCAGCTAAATTCACTGAATATTACAGTATCCGTTTGTTACGTGTCCGGGTCAAAGGTGAATAGAAAGGAAAGGAGCCGTCCGTCTTTGTTTGTGTGTTTTTGTGTTCCACCTTGCTAAATATAACAGTCTCAGAGGATTTGGTTCCGTCGTGTCAGTGTCATGTCTGGGGTCTGAAACGGGCATAGGAAGTCTGTGTGAATGTCCATGATCACGGGAATCACAACAGCCCGTTCCATAAAAGTTGTAGTTCCATTATTGGGTCATTATTTTATTCTGGGGAACTCAAGATTGTTTTTTTTTAATTATGTGGGATGAGTAGTCAACTTTGTTATCTGATGCAAATCAAAGTAAGAATTTAATTAAGGAGAGTCTAGTCACCGAGAATAGCTTCGCATTATTGTTTCCAAAATAAAATCTTGTTCACTAAAATCTAGTAGCGTCTCACAAGATTCAAAGCAACAAACACGTTAGCAAAGCATTATTATTATACATCAGACTCATTATGAAAAAACTGATTGGTCGAGAGCATTCAATCAATTCACAATAGCTTGTGAACTTGACATGATAAATGCAATATCTGCTGCAGATATTGCATTTATCTTGTCAAGTTCAACGTCTGCCTGGTTACCAAGCCCCTCGGAGTGTTCTCCTCAGAAACAGAATGGCTGAACGCTTCGCTTCTGTTTCTGAGGATGAATTATGTCGATTAATTGAGGAAAAAGATCCCAAAAAATGTATAATAAAACAATTATTGAATTCGGTTTCGCATGATATCATGAATTATCAAAACCTCGTGTATGTATTATCTGCCTCAGCCTTCGGCTTCGGCAGATAACACAGACCTCGGTTTTGATAATTCATGATATCACGCTCAACCTCATCCAATAATTGTTTAATATTCGAACTAGCACCAACTTCGCTCTCACCAGGTTTGTCGTCAGGGGATACCCAAATCACTTTGACGCGGCGACCGCCATCTTCAACTTGGCGGAAGAAAATAGGGGGCTGTAATCTAGCTTGAATTTCAGCCATCTCCCCGAGTCGCAAACTTCACTTGCGACTCGCAAGACTGCTAAAATTCAGGCTAACTGATAACAGTTAGAAACTACCGCTGCGCTACCTCTGCCACTGCAACTATTCACGGCGAAAGTGAATCTTATCTAACTTGGTCCAAAGCTCTTCTTGCGATCGCAAAGCCCTAAATGGATAACCGTTAAACCGTAAGGCAAACTGATTTACAAGATGTGGCTGTGGGAGGAAAGCTTGAAAACCTCCCTCCTCGCAACCCATTTTAATACGTTTTGAATTTAGAAACAAGCCTTCACTCATTACTGTTATTTGCCTGGACCCTCACTCGCCCAACAAATTATTTGTGACCAGATATTGTTTTCTCATGCTCGGAGATAATACGAGTTTCTTTTTCCTCATTCTTTATTTTTCGTTTCTTTTTTTGTTATTTTACGTTATTATTAATTTTTACAAAAATTATTATTATATTATTATAATTTTTTTAACGAAAACTATCCTTATTTTTTTTTCATTTTCCGGAATGTTCCGGAATGTTCCGGAATGTTCCATGTTCCGGGTTTTATCGACGGCCGACACGATGTCCTACTAGTTTTATTATTTTGGCTAGGCGCTCTCGAATTTACAATACTGAGATTTCTATTTTTCTGTTGCCTTAATATTTCCTCGGCAATTTCCCCCGATTTTCAGTACATAAATCTTTAAAAACAAAAGCAAACAGCCAACGAGCGAGGACTCCAGTTTTCCAGGTATATTTTTTACAAAAAGCGAAGGCAATTAACAACCAGTCTGTTACCTTAAGCCACCAGCTTTTATCATAATGCCTACACTGAAAATTCCTTGAACAGCGATGCGATATTTCTCGTCTAATACTTCACAGTTGGCGATTTAGGTTTCTTTCGCAGCGAGCCTCCGCTTGCGTACCTCGCTCGGAGAAGTCATTCCCGGCTAAACTTTCAAATGAAACCAGTTTTAAGATGGACAGTATTTTGATTTGCACTCGGTTGTTGGTAAATCAAGAGGCACCTTGTTAGGCCATCCCCATAAAATTTTGTAGCCTTTTTAGACATTTGATAGTCCTGTTAATATACATCTTTTACCATTTGATTATATCTTGCAGACTAAACGTGAGATTGAATATGCAATCATGTGTTCGTTCTTTTTTTTTTTTTTTGCCCGACCGACCGACCCACCTTCACGAGAGGGAGGGCGATGGGAAACGAAACATTTTATGGGGATGGCCTTAGCGGTCAACGACTTGCAGAGAGATTCAACTCTACGATACACTCACATTGGTTCCGTAAATAAAGCACATCCAGAGAATGTATGAACAACCATATGAATTTTCTGAATTTCCATGGTACATATTAAGGCATATTTTCCTACCATAAGACCATAAAAAAATAAAAAGACAGCAAAATCGATCCTTTTCTCCGCCGGAGACGGATCATTTACGAAAACAACCACGCGAGGCATAAGCGCTTTCAACTTCCGGCGTTTCCGACAGCCAATCAGATCTTGTGGCATTGTTCTAACAGCCAATCAGCGTTACACCCAAAATCTGGCCGTAACGAGCATAAATGTGAGAGCTAGTTTGTATCAGGCCCAATTTTAGCGCTGGCCGTTATAGAGAATGTATGAAAACCGCTAAAAATGTGCCTGATCTCAGGTTTGTAACTATAGCCATCGTATTCTCTCTTTCACACAAGTGACAGTTATTTCAGTGAAATCAGTGCGCGCCTAAAAGCTTGTTTCGATGCCGTTTAGCAGTTTGCTGTTAGATATTGGTCACCTTGAGAAAAGTTTCCCGGAGGGCATCATGTAAAGCCCTGAGATGGGACAACGTTATTACGATTCGCAGAGTCTACATCGTCCAATATCGCCTTATATTCTCGTTTCATTTGACTAAAGGACTTTACTGCCCTTTGCATATCAGACATTTACTGATTTAGATTTAAACGAATCAATCACCCTGATACGGGCTGAGACAGAAAGGTACGATATTGTTCGCTAAGTGACCACTAAGTCTTTGGCCCCGGGAACAGGCTCTTAGGAGTCAAATGAATTAGGTGAGAGCAAAATTGCGGCTGAACTTAGACCCGGGCCAAGACGTTTTTTCTGGTGTGAAAACAAGGTTAAGGTGGTCCGCCGACCGTATGACTCACGGACTGCTTAAATACCAAAGGATCCTATAGCTGTAGATGCAGTGAAGGTTATACACAGAATGAACTTTGTCTTTGTACAGGTTTGTTTCTTCCTGTGTGTTACTCCACCTTATTCTCGTTGCATCAAAAACTAAACGAATAGTGCTCCTGGCGCACATTAACTGGAAAACGTCGTTTAAAACTGACCATGTTGAAGTTGTGCTTGAAGCAGATCGGTGTTGTGTCAGGGAGCAGTTTGTAACTATTTTTTCCCAGTTTCCTCGCAACCTCCAAACGGCCCACTGAAGAAGCCATAGCGTCCTCCAGAATAGTTCTATGGTTTAATTGACCCTTCCACGGGTTTTTCAACTTTTGTCTGGGATCAGTTACGAAAAATCCGGCAACATGCCTTAAAAGAACGTGTTAAAATCAATAAAGTTGCTAAGTTTGAAAGCCATCTATTGAAAACTAACGAAGATACTACTCCGCAAAGTCGATGAATTTTACAGAATTTTGTGTCATTTAGGACAAATTCGTGCCCCCCCCCCCAAAAGAAAGATATTTGTACTTTTTCAAGCAAATGTTGACGTGTAGTAAAAGTTTTACTTGTTGTCCCGTAATTAAATGCTCATAACTCACCTGACAACACTGAAGCAAGTCATTGCTGATGAAGACATCCGGAATGGATGGAGAGATGGATGGGTTTGAGAGAAAAGTCCAGAGGTTTTTATCTGCCAGTAGGCTGAGTTTTTCCAAAGTTATTCGACGATATTTCGCTTCTGTTAAACGTGAGAAGATTATGCGTGGTTGTGGATAGTCTTATCTGGTGTGAAAACAAGACTAAGGTGATCCGCCGACCGTGTGACTCTACATCCGGGAACTTGAGTAAGACGAGTGTAAGAGAAAAGTCCAGAGGTGTTTATCTGGCAATAGGCTGGGTTTTTCCGAGTTATTCGATGCGTGGTTGTGGATAGTCCGTGAGTGCCACGAAAGTGTGTGATTGTGTGATTTCCGCATGGTGTTGACAGGTATGTGATCGCGTGGTTGAAATGCTGTTTCGCCAAAATATTCTGCAGCCATTTATATTGTTTCGTCGGTCTTTAGCTTAGCTGATTGAACCTTAGAAAAGCAACTCTCGACTCAGGAAAATTGGATCTAGGTCTAGTTTCAGCGGGCTCTGATGGCATTGCACCATAGGCCGGTTTTTGCAGATAAGAAGGTGATAATTTGTGCACTATGTTTCATTCAGTTTGTTGTATATTCCATGCGGAATCCTATTGTTTATCGGACCGCGAAAAACGTAGTGTTTTGCTAACTATTTAAGATGTTATGTAAGCCTTAACCAGGCACTCTTTCGCTGCAGCTCACTCAACCTTAAAATTTCTAGACTGAAATGACACCGGTTTGAAACTTTGCGAAGTCAGTTTACTGAAGAAATGTTCTAAAATTTGCGTCATTTTAAATTTGGACTCGTTGGAATGCTTCTAGGGACCATTAACGTACTGCCCGGTGTCAGATAAAGGCTTTGAACGAGTTTTAATGTTTTAAATTGCCAAGTAGTAGAATGAGTTGATATTTTTGCTAACCCGTTTTTCAAAAATCCAGTTATAAATTGCACAGAAATCACGAGGGAGCATCTTTAAATTCGTTAAAGATCAGTGAAATGTCTCTCACGATTTTCTCATACATGCATGTTCTTTGTCGGCGAGCTGATTTGCTAGAAAAAGCACTTTTCTAGGTATGATCATCCTCATATTCTTTGCAAGTGCTCTAAGGCATTGTAGATTGATGACAAGCTACTATGTGGCATTGAAATATCAGGCAAAACTCAGAACTATCGCCTGAAAAGTGTTTGCAGCTTTAAAGTGACTCGATTCTACTTGATTTTGCCTTGCAAACAACATAATTTGACTTCAGGCACCTATTCCATTGAGATAATATATATATATATATATATCTGTCTGGATTTGATAAAAGGTACCTCCAAATATTTTTATAGAAACAGTCTCATTTGAGGCTTTTTCAGTTCTTGATCATTCTTTTTTTTAAATGATCTTTTCAGTACAAAAATCCCCTTAAAAGCTGCAGTAGATCAAAAAACATGTGTTTAATATGCTTTTTACATCTCCCCCCCCCCCCGCCGAAGCTCTTCCCTACCTATCATTTCCCATAATTCTCTTCTTGTCATAAAACACTAATGACATTTGAAATCAGCGCGCTCGGTAGAAGTTGTTTTCCCCCAGGGCTGGTTTTTCGTCTCTGGCGTGGCCCACGTTTTAGCCTAGAATAATATATAGATTTAGCCAGGGCTAAAAGCGAAGCTCTCTTTAATATTTATAGTTTCCTCAAAAAAAAATATAAAATCGAGCAATACTAATGAAACGGTGAAGACAACGAGAACGGTAAAAAAACAACAACAATAGATATAATTAGCAAAAAGACAAATTTACACGTTTATTCTGATTAGCAAAAAAACTAATTTGCACGTGCAGCATGCTTTTTTGAGCATTTCTTTGCTGTTGTTTTGCACGACTAAAACGTGGAACTTCTTTTAACTTCCTAGTTGCACATTTTATGGAGGAAATGTTTGTGTTCCGTATCACTGTTTTTTCACTGCATCTCATTTCACCTTGGAAGCCGCTAGCTTTTCTCATTTTCTCACCGCCGCTATATAATTTTTGTTTTTCCTTCCAACGAAATTGGTCTCGGCTTTTTTGTTGTTGTTGATTTTCTCTCTCCCTAAAAGTCTGGGTGGCCATGTGATTTAACGCCAAATCAAGCGGGATGCTTGAAATGAAAAATTTCACCTCAGCTAACATGAAAGGGCGCACGTACGTACGGACGGGCGGACGATTATGTCACAACCAAAATTTCCTGGATGCATAGATGACCGGTAATAGTAAATTATAATTATTTTACTCTATATAAAGCTTCGAGTTTAACCCTTAAAATAATTTGACCAAAAAGGGTTAGCTTTTTCGTCTTTCTTCGGTGTCGCATATTTATACTACGAAGTCACCGTTCGAGGTTGTCTTCTATAGTGAGAAGTGATTCAATTTGCTTTTATTGAAATGGATGGATGAAAATTGATCGCTCTTTTTGATATACAAATCAAGTCCAGTGACATACAAATCATGTCAAAGAGAATCAAAGTAAAATCAACCATTACAGCTGATTCTTAAGTCGCAAAACAAGCCGATTAATAAAATGGATTTACAAAGCGAGATACGAATTGCTCTTACTGAAAAGAAAACAACAACTTAATAACAGTCTGGAAACTACTAAGCTGAAGCTTATGTCATGTTAGGCCCCTTTCAAACGTGGAATTTATTTATATGAGTGCCGAACACCTACTTTTGTCGATGAAAGTAATTAAATACGGCAGTTGATTCAGACGTCGGATATGATGATGCCGAATTTAACTCCGTTTGTTGTAAATATGACCAGTCTGTAGAAATTTTTTTTTCTCCAATATGGATAAGGGTTTCTACAACTAATGCATTATATTCGGCACATGTGAAATGCGACTTCTAGATCAAATAATGAACCTAAGTCTAATTTTGGACTGTTTCAGTCGCAGATTCGACCAAAGTCTATTTAATTTAAAACTGCCGAATTTAGTTGATTCAGTCGTTCCATCTCTAAGCAGTTACCTCTCGATTTAAATTAGGCACATGTGAAAATCGACGATTGAGCTGGGTAATGACAACAGCTAGTGTCCAGTAGTATTGCTAATAGTACCGGTATAGGTACGCTATGACACATACCGCATTTTTTATATTCCTGTAAACTTTGCTTTCAAATTATCACATTACGCTACTAGCTATATGCACCACAAAGTCTCTAGAGTAGGTCTCCTTTTCGATTTTAACTTGCAATATTGGTCAATTTACGCAACTTTTAAACTTCAGGCTCAGTTTTCGTTTGGTTCTGCTTTGAAAATGGAATGATAATTACTCAGAGACAATACAGTGTAAAGCATTGTTTAGAAAAACAACAAAAAATTGCCAATTTATGACAAAATGATACTTTAAAAACGAACTAAACATTTAAAACGCTTTGATCACGTGACTGATGACGTCATGTCCCCCTTTGGTCATGAAAATAATTAACAGGTAGAACATTACTTTCCCGCTAATTTTCTCTGCCTTGTGATAAAACGTTGACTCTCTACAGCCCTCGGCCTAGTCACCAGACTTTTTCGCTCGTGTTCATTACCTCCTTAAATTTTAATGCCGGACGTCAACTGGTTATTTTTAAATGACTAAAACCTGAAATATGCTATTTGTTTTTAACACGTTGATGAAATCTTGTCACAGCGGTAAAAAAACCTAATTCATAAATTGTCACGTGACTGATGACGTCATTATCTTAGATATGGTAAGATATTTTATGGCAAATGTTATCTTGTTGTGGCATGACAGTCCTCTGGGTATAAAATTGTCAAAGTTACAAAGCTTTTTAAAAAATTGCATCAAAGGAGTCTGGGAGATTTTTTATGATAATTATAATTTACTTTTATAATAAATATTATTATTGAAATCCTTGTGACATAGCCCCTTTAAGTTATTAGTATAGAGGGGAGAAGTGACGTCACGTTGCTATGGTAGCAAAATGTTTGGATAACAACAAACCGATAAAGTCACTTAAAAGTCTATTCGCACTATTTCAAACTTCACCGATCTTACTCAATTTCATTTAATTTCGCAAATTTTGGCGAAATTTTCTTTGGGACCGTATCTATCGTTATCTAAGTTTGCAAAAAGACAATTTTTCTGCTGCGCGCGTTCACCTACCCCATAGAGTAAAGAAATGTACAAAAAAGCGTGATGCACTTGCACAGTTGTTTTTTTGGTAAACATATTATTTTTTGCCGTTCTCCTTGCCGTCGTTGGTTTTGCTGTCATCCAGAAATAGTAGGGAACTTAAGATGGAGACGCTTTCGGGGCGACGGCGACCGGACTGGCAGAGAAAGCCTTGAACTAAGGCCGCCGTCGCTTCCCGTCAAAAATAGAACATTAAGATCGCAGTGAACTCAGAAGGACGGCGCCTTTAATTAGAAGAATATCGAAGAGGAAAATATGGCTTCATGCAGACAACATGTATCGGATGAAGAGTTTCTCGTTTTGTGGGAAAATCATGAGTCCAAAAATCCCGATTTTCCTCGGGACGGTTACGATCCGTTCACGCTAAAAAACATGCGGGATGCAGCTGAGTTCAAGGCAGAATTTCGTGTTGAAAAAAAAATGATCTCCACAGGCTTGCCGAAGGCTTGCAAATTACAGGAACATTAAAATGCTACCAAGGAACCGTATTCTGAGTTTGGTATTGAAATAATTCCCGGGAAATACTTGCATGCAACAACAGCAACAACAACGGTCACAACTTTATTTCAGTATTCCCACGCCGAGTTAGTACATGGTATTACCTACTATTCTATATAATTTTCAATGCGTTTCATTAATACGATATTCTAACGAAAAGAGCGAACTAAAAACACACAATTGAAATATCGGAGTTCATATTTTTTGTCTGGATACTTTTATTTGGCTCGTGGAAAAATTTTTTCCCATGTCAAGCTCACTTACGGTTGGCTGTTTGCCAAGTTGGATCTTGACCCTGTGACATGAAAACATAGAAACATTCAAAGATGTAAGTTTAGATAACAGAGCTTGGAAATCGAGCTTGAAATGTGCCTCAAGAAAACGAGGACAATTTAAGAACGATAATCTGCAAAATGTTGCTTGCTAAACGCAACAAACCTGATTGAAATGAAAGTTAAATACTCACGTTTTCGCCACAACGCCAAACAGACCAGTTTCACGTCCCCGACGGGACCACGACGGCGAGGTGGTGAGCACGAGCATGCGCAATATCCAACAAATGATGATGTCACGTCCGGTTGAAGTTGCCGTCGCCCCGAAAACGTCTCTATCTTAAGTTCCCTAGTGCTACCATGGTAACGTGACGTGACACTTCTCCTCTCTATTATAACTAAGTATAACGCTAGCCAACCATGCGTTCTAAATTTTTTTTAGGTTGTCCCAGTGATTGGTCGCACTTTAAAAGCTACTGTTACTTTGTGAGTAAAAAACCTCAACCCTGGATAGCCGCCCAAGGCTTCTGCATAGAGCGGAAGGGAGAGCTAGTGCAGATAACCAGCTTCGAAGAAAACGAGTACGTATTGAATCTTGTTAAAAAGCGCGAGCCATCTCTCGAACAGGTTTGGATCGGACTCAGGTATAATCAAAAGGTGAGCAAGTTCCTATGGTCTGATAACGTAGTTCCATATTTCAAGTACTGGCCGAACTCCATTCAAGAACGGCAAGGAGACTCCAGTAAACCTTGCGTCTACATGTTCACTTCACGCAAGTACGAACCAAGCAAGCCTCCGGGTTCCTGGAATGATGTCAACTGTGAGTCTTACACTAGATTTGTGTGCAAGAAGCTGCAATAATTGAGCTAATGCACTCAAATGACCAAAGCTGAAGGCAGTTGACCGGTTTTCTCTTCTTTAGTGTATCGCGTATGAAACCTATGTTTTCTGATTCGCTTTACTTTTTTTTAATTTATTTCTTTTAAATAATTTAACAAGCATGCCCCCAGCAATGACTGAGCCGGATTGTGCGACGCTGTTACCTCTTTAGAAGTCTTTTGCCACTGTTATCACAACATTACCATATTTTCGGAAGAAAAAAAACAAGCGCAGTAAATAGTCCAGTTTCGAATTCGTAGCAGCCGCCTAATAGATGCACTGAACACTCATTCATACAGGGTTAGCTGCGACATAAAATATTCATAAAATAGCAGCGACAAAATGCCTGAATTTGAGTTTAAAACATTGAAACAGATGTACACAGGTCTTGTTCTGACTGGAGTTTGTGAATATATTAACCCTTAGGTCGAGGCTAACCCGGTATAAATGAGTCTTCAGTGCTTCTCTTCAGCGGCCGCGATGAATTCGAAACTGGACTATTCTTGTGTGCTGCATAAGATTTTGATGTGGTGCTAAACTCGAAACAATAGGACATCTCAGAGCAAACAACTACCCAAATCTACGACATCGCTTCAATATTTACTCAATTTTGTGCCTAAGTTAGACGACTTTAAAGGGTTTTAGTGGACACGAAATTCGGATTCCAAAAATAATTCAATTTATTTGGCGAAACTAAAGACCCGCTGAAACAAGTACCAGTAAGATATATTTTAATGTTATGTGCTTCCAAGTGAGCTTTGGGCATGCTTAAGTTTTTAACATAGTCTTTATGAGGAAACGAATGGATTTCAGTACTCTCCGTAGTCAAAAACATATCGCATACAAAAGATGGCTCAGTCACTTGATTCCAAAAGGGTGCCCACCCCAGAAAACCTCTGCCAGGGGGTGGGGCATTTTTCAATCCTTCTAGAATCGGTTAATATCGTTCCTTTTTCAATATTTCACCTAAAAATATGCCTATTTAGATAGCCAAGACAACATATTACTAGTTTTATCATTGTCAAAAAATTTCTCTTACCTCAGACGATGTTTAACTCTGAGTGGATCACCTCCTCCAAGTCGCAAGCGAGAGCAAGAAGAGAGGACGTGATGCACATAGCAAAACATCATAAAGACGTAGTATAAGGATTGTGTATTTCTAATAGTTTCGTAGGAAACCCAAAAGGGAGATCGCAAGAGTTATGTTAACATTAGCAGAGATGAAAGTTAAGGTGTTATGTTAGGGAGTAAATACCCTGCTCTCATAATTGATTCAACTGTCGGACAACTAAACGAAGAGATTGTTCAGTGATCGTTTTCCAAAGACAACACCTAGCTAGTTTATTCTTTTTTCAAGAGTTTCCGAGGGTGGTATAAATGTCTGATTGTAAAGTAAATAATATTTAAAGTACTGTTAATGTATATGAATATTGGAAAATAAGACTTTTATTGTTAGTATAGGTAATTGCATGATTTGTAGTGATATTTGGCATATAAGTACCATGAGTCATATTTCGAAATTGTTATACGTAATATCGTACGTAACGAATTACTCCTTAATTTTGGCGCGAAATTTCAGCGTTAATTTGTAATTTCACATGTGAAATTACAAAATTGCCATGGCAACCCTTCCGTACGTCTCAGTGTCAAGATGGCGACTTCGTTTTAAAATGCCGTGAATGAAGATGTCAGGGCACAAAAAGACGCTTTAGAAAACCTGAACACACAAGTGAACATCAAGAAGGATTCTAACAGGTATTTTGCCGAAAAAGTCTGAAAAATTCTGACTTTTGCAAGCCAAATGTAAGGTCTAAACATTTGACAGAGTGGAGTTCTCGATCGATACGATCCAGGATAAACATGTCAAAAATCCAAGATTGCTAACGTAAGTCGTCACCAATGATATTAATAGGTAATCAAATGGTAACTCGTGAAATTAGGGAATCTAATTTCACTCGTCACCGTTTGATTACACGTACTAATTTCACAAGCCGTTAGGCGAGTGACATTTGAGACAATTTTGAAATATCACGAGTGGTATTTATGCCAAATATGACTACAAAATATTTGTTTATACAGTACTGTGCAAAAGAAATGCAAACGAAATTTGCCGAAATAAGCGAAATTACGCAAATTTCGGCAATCAAATGGCGAACTTTCCCTTCAGACGAAAAAGCGGCGAGATTTCGGTGCTCATTCTATTGTTCTAATGTCGGAAAAATTTCGCAAGCAAGATGATTAATCGAAACGAAATTTCGCGGCATGAGGCGAAATTTCGTGCCCGTTGGACGAAATTTCGTGTCATTAGAACGAAGTTTCGCATCAAATATCGTTTGGACGAGACGAAATTTCGCTTTCACGAAACGAAGTTTCGTCTTTCAAGAATTTGTAGCTGACTACAGAATAACTGTAATCATCACCTCATGCAAAAGTACAGGTACATGTAAGCGTGATCATTATCGCAAAAGAAACACCGCAACGATTGCTACAATTGCGGAGAGGTTTTGAGGCAGAACGGTGCTTTTTGACTCGTAACATTTTTTTACTTCTTTCTGAACATAATTTTGTTTTAAACGTCTCGCTATAGCTAATACATGTATTTCTGCAATTAGCTTGAACTTATCTATTGCGTGCTGATACACTTTATAATGAAGCTTAATGTAGAATAAATAAAGAACAAAACATTCTTGCTGCAGATTTGTCTTATTTTAATTCGGTTCGCCCGCGCCGCTTCTGTACAGTGATAAAAGAATATCGTCAAACTACAGTGTATTTTGTGTGGCGTTGTTTAATTACTGTGCATGTAAACTATTTATCTTCCTTTATCGGTGACTACGCGAGGCAAATGCACTAAGCTAACCGATCAAAGGTTTGTAATTTTCACATGTAGGTATTTCAAATTAAGCTGAAATACACATGAAATACCACTGCTCTAAGCCAATCAAATTGCAGAAATTTCTCATGTAGTATATAAACGGGGGCAGCCAACGTCAATTTTTGGAAAATATCTGTTCGGGAAACGATTTGAGATCTAGATAGCTGTCTAGAATTTTCGGAACATTTGTTGTAAAATTTACTGCTTGCCCGTCTCTCCTAGGATTTTCGAACATCCAAAAAATGGTATAATTGCCCATTTTTGACAGTTTTTACCCTTTAAAAGGTCACCTAGAATTTTCGGGAGCCTTTTAACGGCTAAAATTTTCGAAAAGGTACGTTTTGATCCCTATAGTTTTCGGATCACAAGACTTTCAGCTAGGAAATCCGAACAGATGAAAAATCTTTAGGGGATAAAAATATGCGTATATCTACCGTTTAAATACTAAAATACGTTAAACAATGCTGTGTTTGAGTGGTTTTGAACTATATTCTCGTTGGGTGCCCCTGATATAAAGTTTGAAAAACTGTTAGGCTAACCAGTTTTGAGAAAAACCACAGTTGCAATCTGTTCTAATCTCCTTCAAGTATGTCCATCCGTCAGTGCCTTATTAACTTTTGTATTTGCTGTGTTGTTGATACCCTCTTTTAATGTTTTAAGCGATTAGTTTTACATGCATGTTTCACTCAATTTAGCGGCAGTTCTTATTGTTAGACTTTTGATAACATTCATGACACAGCTCCTTTAAGGCCCCATAGTTTACGAAAGCGTGAAAAGTCTTTGCAATCATCATGCAATCAGATAGAGAATGGCATGCAGTTCCTGATGGGGCGCTCAAAATTGGAAGTACCGGTGTCTACCAGTGTATGTGTACCAGATATAGAAAAGAACACCCCATGCATATATCTGTGGTTAAAGCTATGATTAATCGCGAGAAAAGTTAACTTACGTTGACATTAATAGAATATAACTTTTTGACTTTCTCGCCGATCAAGACAAGATCACTTTTTTGTTGAATAAGAATAAAAATCTCTATCAATAACACCTTTTATCGCCACTATTTTTTGATATTCAAGAGTAGAAAGAACATTTCGGACAATTCAGTTGTCCTGTCGGTTGACACAGCGGTACTAAGACACCAATCAATGCCAAGAAGTGCACGAAAACAAAACCTGCAAGTCTTCAACTATGCTGGGTCTCTTGAGCCGGTTTGTTCTCTCGTTTTGGAGTGATGGCTGTAACTCATATCAAATTGGTTATTATTTAAATCCTTTCACATTCGTAAAGTACAGAAACAGCTTGTGAGAAAACCGGTCGGTTCAAGGAAACATTAAATTGAATGAGTGATCATTATGGCACGAAATGAAGATCAATAAGACTCGGATGTAGCTCATGGAAATTTATTTCGATTCATAGGGGTGGTAGCAATGGTACCCTGAATCTTCAAACGGCCGATCTTCCGTAAGAGACCATCCAAAATCGAAGAAGATTTAGTGGTCGCGTACGAGAATCGAATACCAGAGGGCCTCTTCTGAGAAGAGGTCCAGACATCTAATTTTTGGAAGATAATTTATTGCGAGCGATTTCTAAGTTACTTATACAGTGAAAACCCACGTACTATAAGAACCTTAAATTTAAGAACCTGCTAGGCTAAAATTTTCATTTCAAAAACCCCTTTTCATAAGAACCTATTTAGCCTAAAATTTTTAATAAGTTCTCATTTTACAAGAATTAAGGCACCGATGAAAATACACAAAAAAACTTTTAGCCTAGGTTTCAGTTAGTGTCCAACGCAGGAACGCGTGGCGAACCCCTAAGAACGTCTACGTTGGGAGGCTAGGTTTCAGTCAGTAAGATTCAAAATGTAACAGCATTTTATGGACACTGCAGCATGAAACACATGCATGCTAGTACTTTGGAAAGATAAATTTAACGCATGGTTATTATCTAAACTGTATTCTAGATAATTATTTAATACAGCAATATATTCCATATTACATGTGCCCTATAGCAGTTATCGGCGCTGATCGCTAGTGCCCGTATCAAATTAAGAACCTATTTAAGAATCTAAGCGGTAACGCCAGTAAAATCCCACTAAATACCATTT